CCATGTAAGGATAAGCGTACGATCTCTCATAAGTGCTGAAATTGGAAAACGGTCACTTATCATTTTTAGATCTTCTACTGGTTAAAAATCATTTATAGAAACCTGAAAATCGTGTGTATAATGGAAATGTTTTTTGTATCTATACTTGCTTATCATAGACCAACCAGAAATCGCAATTCCATTTTCTCTAGCTATTTTACGATGGAATGAGAACATATCATCTAAAGCGGTTTCGAAATTGTTATCTTGGATAGCTTGGAGAGCTTTCTTTCTATCCCCACTACCGAGTGTAAAAATTCGTAAATATGACTTTTTTTCTGTATAATAACCATGCAAGGGGAAGGCCTTAATATATTCTATTTTATAGATGTTTATCGTATTACTAAGAATTTCATCTATTTTTATTCTAAACTCATTTACAGTTTTATTATCAGGTACAAGTATATCAAAGAAAATCTGGATTCCTGTAAGAGTAACTACTGCTTTTTAGCTATTGATGAGAGAGCCGTAAAGACGTAAAACATAATGATTTTTTTCACCTATTTTTTCTGATGATCTCTCAAAATCAATAGCCATAAAAGGGATCTCTTCTCTTTTAGCTAAAGCATTATTGAGAATTGCAGACAAACGCTCGTCATTTTCTGCAACTATATCATTGCGAGTTGGGATTTCTAAATAATCACCACCAAAATAGTAAAATAAGTATTGAAGTAATTGTTCTGCCTTTTTGTTTTCTGAAATCTTTGATTGAGAAAAAGCTTTAAACTCCTGGTGGTACAACACCCCACTATTTTCTTCCTCTATCTCTGGCTCGAAGCTTCCTGTTACATAAGTATTCCCACATTGCTCCAAGTCTTCAAGGATCGGTACAAGAGGTGCAGGCACGTTGATTGCATCTGTCAATGGTAGGGTGGGTGTATTGTGTTCACTTTGGGTACTTATAGTAAGTATATTTTACTGCTAGTATATTGTTCTGAAAAAAAAAGTTCAAAATGAAAATTAATTCTAAAAAATAGTTATCAGTAGATAATAATTATTATATCATAATCATATAAACATGGCATTTTATCGTTACTCCTATATTCTTAGGACTAGAAAACTTTGCAATCGAGGTTGCTATAGGCCTGAAGGGTGTAAAGTTCACTGGAATTCTCCACCACACATACCTTGTAAAAAATGTGATAAGTTGACCTATTCTGGTTATGACTACTGTGATACTCATGCAGATAAATATCGAAGTCGGGATCGGTATCAGCAGAAAAAGCTAGAGAATATGGCACAAGGCAGGGAATTAGAGATGAGTCAGGCACGTAAGTGCCATTATTCTACAATAAGACTCGAAGCTCAGCTTCCTCGATGCTCTGCATCATCTGAGGTAAAGGAAAATTAATATATATATGTGTAGTATGCAGGATACCTATATTTTTCGAAGTTCCAACTAGAACGAATTTTTTTCTAGGACGTAAAGTAGGACGAAAAAAAATATAGCTGTCAGTAATTTCAAGCTGAATGAAAGAGTTTTAGAATACCCATCCCAGTTGTCCTAGTTGTCCTAGTGAAATTTTGATCTTCTTACATTTTTTTCATTTTTTATCTATAGGTATACATAGTATATATTATATGTATATAGCATGTATATAACCGTATATATCATTATGTATAGTATAAATGTATCATAAGTAGATAAATTTTATTTTCCTAGATTATTACTTTTTACTAGGACAACTAGGACAAATATATAATAAATATAAAAGAACAAGATAAAAATGGATTTTAAATCTTTCTCCTATATCGAATCTGTCCAAGTTAATATTTTTTTTACTAGGACGAGACCAGGACGGATTTTTTATTAGGACGTGAGCAGATCTATTTTAACTGCATTCTGGAATATCAATTGTGGGGTATAACTTACAGTTGGGTAGGTAGGTAAATATATATATCTTGCCACTAGGGACAAAATAAGGCGATATCATATTTGATAGCATACTCGATAGCATACCCGATAGCAATTAAGCGATGCATATTTGATAGCAGTTCAGATAACGTGAATATAGCATACCTGATAGCAGAAGTGTGATGACGTAAACGTAAAATTGTCGTCATATTTTTTATAGATTATGGGGTATCCAAGTGCGATGACATGACTACAAATTTGTCATCATATTTTTTATAGATCATGGGTACCTAAGTGTGATGACGAACTCGTGAACCAATCATCACTCAAATGACGACACAAATGTGAATCGTTCGTCACTCGAATGATAGAGCGAATACTAATATATCTCTGATGACGGTGATGCATTTCTGTCGTCACAACACTGATAACGGTGACGCATTTCTGTCATCACAACACTGATGATGGTGACGCATTTCTGTCGTCATACCTGAGTGGGAATAACCTAGACTAAGTAGAAATAACATAATTATGTTATTTCCACTATATTCACCTGCTTGCACTTATTATCATACCATACCTCAATGATCATTTCTAATATTGTTTTATTATTTTTTAAAAAATACAAACTAAACATGCAAATCTACCCAATATTAAGGTTAGCTAATTGTTAAGATTATACCTGCAATAGCAGCTATTGAGCCTGTTTGGGAGCATTATTGATATTGTATCATATGTCTTGTTATTAGTATTGGAACTAATAAGACAACAGAGTTCTGTATAGTATTTATTATTTAGGCAATAAGTATATATGTATAATAATATGCTTCAAGTAATAGCACAAAGATCTGTGAAGTAATTGTTTTTTAATCACTTTTGGTAATACAGTTCCAAGTTTAGGCTGATTTACTACAAAGTCATTTGTCACATTAATCAAGTACTTCTTTAATAGAGAGTCTATAGCAGTATATAGAGATAGTACAAATCATATAATTTTATATAAAACTATATACTCTAACTACTAACTAAACAATCATGTAATTTTGCACTATCTCTAAGCACTGTTTATAAACTTTTTGCTTTTTTAAGTTGTCAATATGTAACTTGTAACTCTTTATTATTATAGCCACATGTTATATACTTATAAGGTTTTAATCAGAACAGAGATCAAATCCATACTTAACAACATATAAATAAAAAAATTTTTCATGTACAAAAAAAATTCTTTTGCAAATCTAATATAAAAATTGACACCTATTATTGTTCATCTTGCCACAGAACAAAAATTGTTGATGCTTTTATAAATAATAATAAAACATATATTTTATGCTTGGATTATTAAATGAAGGAAAGAAAAGAAAATATAAAAAGCAAACAATAGATAATTTTTACAAGAATCACAAAAATGCTATAGAGCCAGAAAATTTTAAAAGTATAATTTATAAAAAAAACTTATAGAAGTTGAAAATAAGAATAATAGTCAAATGAATCTAGAAATATTAATTACTATTTCTAGCTTAATTAACAAATTAAATGAAACTAGTACAGGTAAAATTGATTCAAGTTTATTTGCAGTTGAAGTAATAAAACTTTGTAAGAAAAATAATAGATATTCTTATAAATACTAAGCATCTAGTCAATTCTCTAGGAAAAATAAATACATTATTCTTTTAAAAAATAATTATTTATTATATATATATTTAAAAATTTAGATATAGAGTAATTTATGTTATTTATTTATTACTGAAGCTATAAAAATATTAGTTTTTTTTTTTTTTTTTATTATATATTAAAGGTGAGGTCTTGCTCGTATCTTTATTTAATAATTTATATAAGTGATTACATAAAGCTATATAAAG